CTTCTCCTTTCCTTTAGGTTTTCTTCGATCGTTTCCTTTCCCTCTCTTTGGGATAAATAACGTTCGGTGGCGACTCTTCTGTTTGTTTCCACCGGCTCCTTTTTTCGCAGTTGCGACAGATTGTTCAAAATATTCATTTATATATAGGTTAGATCGATACAAATATTCTGATCACAAAGACAAGCTCGAGTACCAAAGAGTTAAGCAAACAACATTACATGGATCAAAGTGCAGGTATATTTTCACAATTTTGATTATAATAGTGATGCTACTTGATAAAACAAGTTAAACTATATATCTTGATATATATTCTTTTTCTTTTTTTCTATGTGTAGTGTCCTCGTCTGCCTAATGGTATAGATTACGGTTATTTTGTATTGAGATTTATGAAGGAAACTCTTCATTTGAGTCAAATAGAGATTCCAAACACAATATGAATTTATAAGTTAGGATTTATTTTAATATTTAGCGGATATATATTTCATCTAATATTAATTAGTTTTAACTAAATCATGCATATTATGTAGTACTTTTATGAATAAAGGGTGAAAAATGGTTCTAAAGATCTTTTTTGGCATAATGTCATAAATACAGGGTGAAAAACATTTAATCTAAAAAAATTAAAGTCTTACATAGTCCACTGAACAAGCTCTCTCTCCCAATCTACTGTTGGTTATCAAAATATTTATTCTAAAAAAGTAAAACAACATCAACAATCAAACATTATTCCATTAAGTGGGATAAGCTACATGAATTAACTTTGTTTTGTTTACCCATGCATTCCCTTCTTCAGTGTGTGTTTTCGAGTTCAAACATTCTGAGTAAACTGTTTGCAGCCATTACTTAACTGCAAGATATTTGAAAAATAAATCATCAAAATAATTCACAATAACATATAACTTAAATATGAATAATATCACAATACAAATTACTCTTTATGCAACTGAAAAACTAATAGTTCAAATGAAACTCTAAAGATTCAATTGAATTAAAATTATTTCATTATCTATCAAATCAATGCAAATGCAATTTTCAGAATTTATGAATTTCATAAAATATAAACTCTAATACTCAATTCCATAATTTCCGCATAAGAATTGAATCAACTTCAACTTAAAATAAAAACCCCAATCTCCAAATTGCAGACCAACGTAAACTTAAAATACAAACCCTAATCACCAAATGGATTGTTTCTATGTTAAGAATTCAAATCAACTTTAACTAAAAATACAAACCTAATACCTAATTCAATAATGAAAATTTTACCTCATACCCTTACCATTATTCCTCTACCCATACATTTGTTAAAAAAAATTCAATTCTACCATTTTCATGTATCAAATAATTTTATTATTTAATATTTATCATTTCACTCCCCTACCAAAGTGGAAAATTTTACCTCATACCCCTACCATTGTCCCTCTACCCCTACATTTTTTAAAATATTTCAATTCTACTCTTTTCACTTATCAAATAATTTTAATATTTAATATTTATCATTTCACACTCCTACCAAAGTGTATTGAATAACTTTGTCCAAAGTTTTCCGGTATGTAATTTTTTTTCACAAGATAACTTGCAATCAAGTTTTTCGATATGTATTTTTTTTCACCAAATAACTTGCAATCAATTTTTTTGATATGTAGTTTTTCTTCATCGGATAACTTGCAATCAAGTTTTTCCGATATGTATTTTTCCTTCATCAAATAACTTGCAATAAAGTTTTTCAATATGTAATTTTTATTCATCAAATAATTAGCAATCAAGTTTTCCGTTATGTAATTTTTCTTCATCGAATAACTTGGGTTTAGGCAACAATGAAAAAATTTGGCCTAAAGTAAATAAAACTGTGGTCTATTCTAATAAACATGGTTTTTGCAACTTATGAAAAATGGTATATCACATACATAAAAAACTGTTGCCTAGTATTTTAGGCAACGATTCTATTTGCTTTAGGCCACGGTTTTTCTTATTTTTCAACTTATGAAAAATTGTATATTCCTTGTATGAAAAACCGTTGCCGACAACGATTTTATTTTCCTTAGGCCACGTTTTTTTCTTTTTGCCTAAACTCAAGTTATTCGATGAAGACAAATTACAAACCTGAAAACTTGATTGCAAGTTATCCTATGAATAAAAATTACATACTGAAAAACTTGATTGCAAGTTATTTGATGAAGAAAAAATACATACTAGAAAAATTGATTGTAAGTTATCCAATGAAGAAAAATTACATATCAGAAAACTTGATTGCAAGTTATTTTGTGAAGAAAAAATGCATACCGGAAAATTTGATTGCAAGTTATTTAGTGAAGAAAAAATACATACTAGAAAATAATAAATATTAAATAATACAATTATTTGATAAGTGAAAAGAATAGAATTGGAATATTTTAAGAAATGTAGGGGTAGAGGGATAATGATAGGGGTATGAGGTAAAATTTTCTTCAATAATTTATGTATAATAACTCAAATCAACTAGATTTTGAAAAAATATAAAGATTGAGATGGATACAAACAACTACCTATGAAAGAAGACGTCAATATTCTACCGTGAATCTTGGTGAAGGAATAACACAACGAATATGAAATTTTTTTTGATACCCTTGGATGATCAACATAACTAATACGGAGTAGATGAACTTTACATCTTAAAGTTATATACTGAACAAGAAACGGATACGAAATTGAGTGAGCGAAGAGGACGAATGAGATGAATAATATATAGTTGATAATATTGAAGGATGAACTGAATCAAATAAGAATTTGGTCTGCATCATTAAAGAAAGATGGATGATCAGAAGAAGAAGATGAAGGGTTTTCAAAATTCTATTCGATCTTTTGAAATATGATTTTGGAATTTAGAAATTTAAATTAAAAATTAATTTCATTAAATAAAAATTATTTTTAATTTAATATTAATTTTATGGAAAACTGATATGTAATAAATAAAAATTTCATATAAAATGATGATTTGACCGTTTGTGTTTTGATTGGCCAAAAGCATTGATTACAACAAAAAAAAAATTATTTCAACAACTTCATCATAAAAACTCTATAGTAATTGATATTGAAAGACCCTTAATAGTATTTCAAAAGCATATTTTAGAAAGTTCATTTTATTTTAGTTTTATTTATTGAATGGAATAATATTTAGAGATATACTTTTTTTCTAATTGATCTAATAATTAAAACCTTGACACTTAAAGTATTGTCACATAGAATGTCTTAAGTAAGTTAGTGAAAGTCTCTCTTCATAACTTTTTTATGCATTGAATCATGTTTTATATTATGATGATTAGTTGAAATAAAGTTTTCGAGGTTATTATTGTTATAATTATTTTTGTATCTTTATATTATAATTATTCATAGAAATAAAGTTTTTGAAATTATTATTGTTATAATTATTTTTGTAACATTTGTAGAAATATGTAATTTAAAAGTTTTCTCACTAAATTTTTTGGTTGGATCAATTAAAAATGCCTATATTTTTTAGAGATCATAGCGTTTAACATTTTTATGCCACTCGTCTATATTAATCAAGTAAAATTTAATGATATTTTAATTAATATGATTTAATCATATTATACATCAATGACGATAATACCAAAGATCTCATTATTGATTTACGAAACAAACTAAAATAAAAAATAATAATCTCAGATTTTACTCAAATTCAGTTTTATAAGTGGTTTAATTCATAAACTGATAAAAGCATGAAATCTTATGAGGTGAGTATTTGATTTTAGAAACCATGGTTAATATGACTATGCATTGATATATACATATTTTAACTGATTATAAGTATACAACACATAAATGTTTAGATCATCGCAGAATTAAAACATGGAGAATAAAAATGTTTTTTTCCAAATTACTGATAAATCAATTATTATAAATAAATTATAATTTAAAAATCAAAATCTTTATTTGAAAGGATTAAAATTTGAGACGCATGCTATTCTAAAACAAATTAGTTTTGACATGTAATGTTTAAAGATTTCAACTATAAAAGGCAAATGGGTCCTATAAACAATTATGATAGTGGTCCATTCCCCAGCTATTGCCAAATATTAAATGTTTCAAGATATGTATGCAGCATTTTATGTTCACTCATTTCTCTTGTATTTAAGACATGTGTACACATGTACATTTTATGTTCACTCATTTCTCTTGTATTTAAGACATGTCAGGATAGAGTAGATATTTGGCTACCTAAATGATTAATGGGATCAAAGAGATTTACTAATTCGATCCTAGACAGCAGTGTTGTAAAAACCGGATCGGACCGGCCGGTCGGACTGGGAACCAGTTTAGTAACCGGTCTGGTTTACTAATTCGATCGTCTGTGTCATCAAACCGATAAAAATCGAGAAAAACAGGATTGAGCCGGGAAAAACTGGATTTAGGGTTAGACCGGTTCTAATACATTTTTTATTTTTTAATTAAAGTTTAAATGCAAAAGTTATAAAAATTTTAAAAAAATTGTTTAAAATTAGATTATGTTGCAATTATTTTGTAATTTTGTATTATTTTGTTATGTGTGATACATTTGTTTAAAATTTGAATTTAAATTATGAACTTGTGAATTTATGATATAATATTTTCAAAAAATTTAAGTACTAGTTATATTTTTTTAGAAACTGAGTCATATGGTTCGACCGGTTTTATATCTATATAATGACAGGTCTATTCAACCGAGTTATCCGGTTTAATCCGATTTATTCATGCGGTTCGATGACCGATCCAGTTTTTAAAACACTGATAAACAGTCTGTTTACATTCATTTAACTTGGTTAATACATATTATTAGTTGACTTGATTAATACATATTATTAGTTGAGTTATTTCACCAAACCTTAATTTTAATATTTTTATTTATTAAAAAATAACATCACTTAAATTTATAAGAATATATATATATATAACACCCACTTCAAGGATCTTACCTATAACCAATATAAAGAAAAACCTATTCTATCTCAACTCCAACCTCCCGTATGAACACCATAAAAAATTCAAATGATGAAAACACTCTTGTACCAGAATTCTTACAACAAGACGACATAGGCGAAGAATGCAAGGAGTTATTACCCACATTGCCATTGGTAAAAGGTTGGATTGAAAGTGACTTATATAAATATCAAGGATTTTGGTTTTTCCCAAAGGTTCTGCATGGTGTTTTATCTTGTCAAAAACACTTTCAAGCCATTGATACTGATATCCTCTTAGTAACTTTTCCCAAATCAGGTACAACATGGCTCAAAGCATTGATGTTTGCTTTGGTAAACCGCAACAAATATCCCAATATTCATGACGATCATCCTCTTCTCACTAAAAACCCTCACGATCTTGTTCCCTTTTGGGAAGTTGGCCTTTACTACGACAAAGATTTTGTTCCTGATCTCCAAACAATATCTCCTCCAAGACTTTTCTCGACTCATCTATCTTATGAATCATTGCCAAAATCTGTGCGGGATTCACGTTGTAAGGTGGTGTATCTATGTAGAGATCCTAAAGACAATTTTGTTTCATTGTGGCATTTCGCAAACAAGAATAGACCAAAAAGTAGGGAAACAGTTCCATTACAAGATGCTTTTGAGAGTTTTCGTAGAGGAGAAACTCCTTTTGGACCTTTTTGGGAGCATGTATTAGGATATTGGAAGAAAAGCTTGGAAAGTCCAAACAAGGTTATGTTTTTGAAATACGAAGAAATAAAAATGAGACCTAATTTTTATCTAAAAGAGATTGCAAAGTTTTTGGACTGCCCATTCTCCAAACAAGAAGAATCTAAAGGTCTGGATAATGATATATTAAATTTGTGTAGTTTTGACAAGTTGAGTAATTTGGAAGTCAATAAAATTGAAAAAACATCTTTTAAAGTTGAAAACAAAAGTTTTTTCCGTCTTGGTCAAGTTGGAGATTGGAAAAATCTTCTCACAACAGAAATGATTGAGCATATAAACACTATGACGGAAAAGAAATTTCTTAAACATGGGTTGAAGTTTTAGAACATGAGATATTTCAATTAATATTTATGTTGTAATGTGTTTTATTTTGTTGATGTCACTTTGGTTTTGTTTGTGGTGTGTTTACTTTGATTTTATTCTATTTTTTCTTTGTAACTCTAGCAATTTAGGAGATGCTTTGCACAAGAGATCCTTTGCTAGTCTAGTCTGCTTCTATCAATAAAATTTTATTTTATAATAAGTTTCACATTTTATTATATTTTTATTTTTTTAATTATTTAATAAATGTAGAGACATAATAAAATTTATATTCTTTATTTTATAAAAGGCTCATATATTGAAAAAGAAGATAGTATAAAAGAGTTAGCGGATTATATCAAAATTCACTCAAAAGATTATTAATATTATAAAAAAATTTATGCCTATTTTTGACAATGTCATTTTAATATTCAAGAGGCGAACCCTATATTAGTAAAAATCATATGCACAATTTTCACTCTCCTTATATATGTTAAATGGCCTAGATGCAATTAAAATAGTGCAAGATTCCCATGTGTTTCTTAGTTGTGGAGGCACTAAATTGACTTAAAAAAATTGACCACCAAGAGAGTATCAATTTCAATCTAAAACTTATAAAAATATTGATGATTAGCTACCTATGTCTCTTAAAACTGACATACTTTTATAAAAAATCAGTTCATCCAAGGAGAAGGCTCAATAAAAGCCAAAAAAACCACCTAAGCATTACACAGAGTTACATGATATTTCATAATATACAATAAATGCATACGAATGCACTTTATAGTCAATTCTATATGCATGTGGTATCACTCACTAAGTTCATGGCTTATTTTGAAAGGACATACATGCTACCTTACATACCAAAATACTCTTCCTGAAATATATAGTTTACAATGACATATGAGTTACGTTTCGTACTACAACATTTTCTGTAGAGGTATGTAGACTCTCAAATATTTATGAGTACATCTAAACTACGTACATAATACAACACTCTCTCTAAACTTTAAAGTAGGAAGACATGTGAGCTACATATACTATAACACTCTCTCTAGACGTTTGTAGACTATCAACTGTCCAGGAGTACATGTGAGCTACATTTGTACTATGACACTATCTCTAGATGCAAACCTACTGTCACTATGATATGATGCATGATGATCAGACACACGCGAATTCCTCCTAAACCTCCTTCCCTTTTTAACAAATTTACTTTGATTACCACATTAGAGGTTTCATAAAGTTTTATCATACATTCACTTTAATTTGATTGCCACATTAGAGTTTCATAATAATTTTATCAAATTTTCAACTCGATTGCTACATTAAGGCTTCACAATAACCTTACCAATCATTGGTCACATGTCATAAGGTTTTCTCACATTCATTAATTAATAACAGTATTACACATACATATAAGCATCATGATACCTTACCACAAGATAGGTCTTTGCAATAGCTTTCTAATGCATCAAACTGTGTCTCAAATGGAGTTTCTAAACTCAAAATATGACTTTTTCAATAACTCTAAAACATGTAATCGATTATACGTTTGGTGTAATCGATTACACAGTTGTTTGTTTGAGTTTTCGGCTCTCAAAGGGGTGGTAATCGATTATATTAATGTTCTTCCTGACTTTTTACAACTGTTGAACAATTTTTACAACTGCTGAAGGGGTAGTAATTAATTACACCCTAAGTGTAATTGATTACACAGTGCAAATTTTCACGTTTCACAAAACTAATCGCGTATAAACTCAATTCAACCTCAAGAAATAGTCCCGACATGAATTTACAAAACATAATACATTATGGCATAAAATAGCCATCAATTAAACACAATCCATTCATCATAACACATATTCATCGAATCAAAACATGATATAAACATTCATACAAGTAAATTAGGGGAAAATACATCAAATTATTCAAATAACCTAACTCATTGATGATATGAAATAGATTCATAACATAGGATTTATGAAAAATCATCTCGTAGGGCAATTGCCATAGGAATTAGAATGGATTTGAGGTTCAAGGAACACCTCACTATCCTAAATGCTAAAATATCAATGTTCTTGAATAATATCCCCTTACCTTTTTATTGAAGAAAATCATCCACGAAGCTCTCAATAATGGCGACAACCCTCATTTGCACAATCTATACTGTGATTTTTTTTGGTGAATTGAGGTTTTTCTCTTAGATTTTAGGAGAAGAAAAATTTCTTTGGAAAAAAAAAAGAGAATGACTAGGATTTTTATTTTTCTTTAGAGAAATATATGTTTCTCTTTTTATTTTCCGCTTTTCTAAGTTCTTTCATTTTTCTCTATTTCTCTCTATTTCCCTCCCTTTTCTTTATTTCTTTCATTCTTCTTTATTTATCTCCTTTCTTCTCTCACTCTTTTCTATTTTATAAATTATAAATAAATTACAAATAAATAAATAAATAAATAAATAATAATAATATAAATAATAAAATCTTAAAAATGCAATAAAATTGAAATAATAACATTTTAAGTATTTTTGAGGTGTTACACGAAGCACGAAGGACGGGTGGACCATGAATTTTTTTTTTTATAATTGAAAAATATGATAGAGAAGCCTCGGTGGTTAACTTAGACTGTTTATGTGCCAAGTTAACTTGAGCCAATATCTGAGAGATGAAAATATAAAAATTAGTGGAATGATTGTTGAAGTAATACATATTCCTAACTGACCAAATCGCAAGTATTATATTGATCATGGAATACTTGATGACCAAGGAACATTAAGCAGCCATACCTTTATTACTGGAAAAACAAAAGTATTCAAGACAAAAGTATTCAAGACAATAGTACTGCAAGTTTGTGTTAATTTTGGCATTGAGTTTATGCCAAAAGTTAACAGCATAAGGGAATTCAAAACACAAGTGAAAAGTGGATCCATCATGGCATTTACACATAATACAAATTTAGGCCATTGACCAATCCCTTAATTTCAACATGTCATTTGTGGGAATATTGTTGTCCATTAGCCTCTATACCTTTAGAGATTTCAAATAAGGTATGTTCAAGGACCGAATTTATTTATCCTAATCAAGCTTAAGAGAAGAAGGAGAATTGAAGGTATAAGATTATCTAAGAGTTAAGTCACTTGAACATAAATTTCTCCAAAAGTTTTGGTCCTTGAGATAGACCGTTGTAAAGTTTATTTGAGGACCTTATGCATTAGAAATGAAATAAAATGGGCCACTCAAAAGGAAAATGACACTGATTTACAATAATAAAATATGCCACATTAGAATTTAGGAAAATGGAATGACCTTCTAAATTAATAAGGTTAGCTTCTTGCAAAAGAGGCACCTTGCACCCAGAATCTCTCTATAAACTGATTGAAGATCCATTAATATATAACTGTTTGATTTTGCTAATCAAAAGCTCGAATTCAGGCTTATCCTACACTAGAGATATGAAAAAATCATGGTGCCAACCTTTCTTAAGACTTTATCTTTCAGATGCTTGGACCAAGGATATTCACTTTTTTATCAAATCCCATACCATATCCAAAATAGAGACCTCATTTTAGCACACAAGAGATCCCACACCTAAAATACCATGAGAATGAGGCTTGCACACTTTATTCCTAGCCTTAATCACTAACTTTCTTTTGTTCACATTTCCATTCCAAATGATATTTATAGAGGCAACTTCAATGGATTTGAGTAGAGAGATAGTAGAAATTTAACTTGAAAAATATGTTGTATTCTTATTATTTTTTATGACACATGACATACATTTATATATAGACTGATGATTTATCTTTTAGAGCTTGAAAATAGGATCAATCCTAATAAACCCTAACAAACTAATAACAATACTATAAAAAACTAATAACAATCCTAACAAGCCCTAAAAAACTAATAACAAACTATTAAATTTATCTCTAATACTCCCCATCAAGTTTGAGGGTGAGGATTATGAACATCCAACTTGAACATGAGGTCTTGAAAAAATTTCACGTCCAATAACTTAGTAAAAATGTCAACATTTTGTTGTTTGGTGGACGGGTAAGATGGGCTTATGGTACCTGACTATATGTGTTCCTTGATAAAATGGAAGTCAATTTCCATGTGTTTTGTTCTTTCTTGCAAGATCAGGTTTGCAGCAAAATAAAGAGTTGTTTCATTGCCACAATGCTGAAGTGTGAATTTGATGCATGGAACTTGAAGATTCTCTAACAAATTAGTAGCCATAGTATTTCACTTGTGGCGTGTTTCATTA